TGAATTTATAACATCATGTAATTTATATATTTATTTAGAGACATAAGTTCGATGAATTAAATAGGTCTAGTATCTTTTTAAAATGATTATTAATGACATGACATATCAACTAGAATTTAAAGAGACTTTTGAGGTATTTGGTATTTCTAATGGATAAAAAATATAATATTATTCACTTTCTTCTTCTTTTTTTCAAAAAAAAATAATATCGAGAGCATGAATTGTAAAATATACAATTAATTTTATTGTATTGACCTTTAATATTATTGATTTATTATATAACTTATGATTAATTGATGTAAATTATCGTTAATGAGTGATTTGTATATCAATATGTTTTTGAATGTATGTGTTTATAAGTATTCAAAAGTGATAAATTAATAGTACATTTTAAAATTGTATTCTTCATAACATAAAAAAATAAAAAGTTTAATTATGATAAAAGATTTTAAGTATGAATAGATTAAAAACAAATTAAAAATAATATAATCATTATTTTAGTTAAATAGGTTCAATGAATTATATTAGTTTATTATTTAAAAAAAAGACTTTAATGACATATCATGCCAACTAGGAGAGAGTGATGATTTTAGAGTACCAAGTATATTTGGAGGAAATAGTGATAGTTGAGTGATATTTTGTCCTAAATAAAACATAAATGATATTTCAAGACAATTCTCTAACTTAGGTGACCATTTAGAAAATTACTCTTACTATGATTTATGTGATAACATGTGGGGTTAGGGAGGGAGGGGGGGCAGGCCGGTGGTGGGTGGGTGGGGTCAGGGATCAGGTAAAAAATAAAATTTTAAAATTGATTTTTTTAAAAAAAAATATAATTTAAAATTGGAGGAGAGTTTTGGAAAATGTTTTCCTTAATTTTTGAAGGAAAATCATTTTTCTTAATTTTGAGAAAAATGAGTTAATTTGAAAAACATTTTCCGAAACTTTTGTCCCAACCAAAAAATGTTTTCCTTCATACCAAACACACTCTTAGTCTTTAAAGTTAACAATTTAACATAATGATTATTCTGAAATATATAAAATAAAATAAATCGAAAAATTGGTGAATCTTAATACTTGAAAAATTGTGTATAGAAAATTTTGAATTTAATATAAATTAAATATTTAAAATTTTATGACAGAAAGTATTTAGAACAATGTTGATAGTCTCAGGGGGCGCAGCGGTTTCTTTCAAATGTAGTTGTAACTATTGAAAAAGAGAAGAAGGGCGAGTTGTTAATGAATAAAAACAAAGCAAACTGAGAAGCAAATGAGATCAATTGTTTAAAATAATCATTCTAATTGTCTATTTTTATAAAATATAATTTTAATTTATATATTTCTTCAAGCATTCAGAATCACCGACTTTTATTTATTTCTTTTATATAATTTAAAAACATAGTCTCAACTGATATTAGTCCAAATGTGTCAATTGGGCAGGATATAATATATATTGCACCTTAAACTTGACTTCAAATTTTAAGTTTGACCTTCAACTTTCATAATGTACAAACAGACACTTAAACTATCCGATTTTTAAATAAATAAACACACGAGTTGTACATAGAACAATACACGTAGGATACTATGTACGACAAAAAATAATATGTGGAATACGTGTGTCTATTTATTCAACTTTATACAAGTTTAAATGTATATTTATGCATATCTAAAATTGAAGGCATAAATATAATTTGAAGCAAAATTAAAAAATACATTTATGTATTATATCATTGGGCAAATATATCTATAGTCTAGTTGCATGCAAGATAAGGACGAAGCCAAATAAAATTGATGGATTTATATGAACTTTCATGGAAAATCACACTCTTTATATATATAATTAAAATTTTAAAATTTCTTTGTATATTTATTTCTTTGATAAAAATTTTAATTCCGCCGCGAGTAGTATTACAAGTAATATTTGCGGGGAGGAGCTATCGGATTGATTACGAATTCAGTTTTTTCGAAGAAAAATTGGAGTTGCAAATTTCATAAGGTGTTTGATAAATTGCCCGAGAGAGAAACTCAAACCATAACTGAGCTTGATTTTTGATAACTTTTTTATATGTATGTACGTGCATTTTCAGGCATGGAAGATCTGAAATGCGGGCGTTTCTGCTTTTTCGATGGTTCAGTTTCATCTATGGATCGAGAAAACTATGGTAGTAAGCTTCGTCAATTGTATTTCTAGGTTAATAGTAATGTTTTTCACTGATTGTGAATTCTCATATTGTGTTCGCGTTAGCAAACTAATACTGTAAAGTAACGGTTGATTATGATTTTTTTCGTCAGGCTTCTCATAATGCTGTTTTAAGTGGGAATTCAGTAGAGGCGAAGCTATGATTTCAACATAATTGGTTAATATTTGTGTATAATTTGAGGCTGAATCCGCATGTGGATTTTGCATTGCTTCTGGTGGGAAGGACCTTTTCTATGTGGTGTTGATAGGGTCACTGATTAGCTTTTGCATTGCTAAAACAAGGTATGGAATGTTTAGCTTTTGGTATTGCGAATCTATCGACTGATATACTAGACATACTGCAAGTGAAAGTGCATCTGTAGTAGGTATTTTTATTTGTTGGAACTTGGAAGAACTTCTCCTTGTTTAGTTGTATATATTGTTTCATGAGCAAATTGTTATATGAAATGCAGCAACACCTACTCGAGAAGATTATTAGATATTACGAATGGAGCGTCTTAACTGTTAAGATACGGTTATTTGGATGAAAATGCTAATTAGCTCATAACGATGTTTTTAGAGGAATTGAAATGATGATAGATGTAAAGAATCAGTTTCCAGATGAAAGGTGTAAGTGTTTCCATAATAAAATTCTAGATTGAACTCGTGAGTCACGCTATGTTTGAACTCTTCTTATCTTCTCTTATTTTGATAAAATTCATATTACTGCCTTTGACTGAATCCTTCTTGTTGTATTGTTTGTGGGATGTAAAGCAAAATAATATGTTCATACCATCAGATGTTGAAAGGGTGTTATGAACTTGCCTGGGTAATTTATAACTTTGGATGTCATTTGGATCTCAATATTCTTTATTTGTAAACCAGATCCGAATATTAAAAAGTCTGCTTATCAGTTACATACTTTAAGTCAGTCTTACTACTGCTAAGGCCTCATGTATAGAATAACTGTATTATATTTACTACCAAGGACTTTTAAGGAATTATTGATTCAAAACATTCTATTGCTACACCCATCTTCAAGTATCTCAAATAGCACACTAGCCGTAAGATGAAGAGGTGTCTAATACAGCCACTCATCCGCTGAGCTGGCCGAAAGAATCAAGTGAAGAGTCTTTACTATAAAGAAAAAGCATTTTCCTATTCTAGAATTCCTGCAAACTATTAATTGAAGTGCTTACCAGTCACCGCTACAATTGGCAGAAATTGGCACTGCATCTATATCAATGAATATTTAGCTTTTCCTTGGTCCATTTTTTTAGCACTGGCTTACTCACAGGAAGCTGGCTTAGCAGAAAGATGGACTTTGTGTGTAACTTTAACAGAGAAAAAGAAAATGAACTTTGTCATATGCTTTAATACAAGATTATGTGCTTAAATACTTGTGCATTATGTACACTTCACATGTACAAGTGTTTTGGTTTAGATACTCCTTATTATCACATATAAATCTACTTGCACCTTCTGTTTTATACTGTATAGTGTATACTCTATAACCAGGAAGGACTTTTGTTGGATTTGCATTTGATAGTGTTATCATCTTTCTTTTCAAGAAAAAAAAAAGAAGAAAAAAAGTATGTTTTACATTGATGCAGAAGAACCTGACTGTTATGACCTGTACTTGAATACAAATGGTGAGATCTCCTTCTGCTTTTATCTGCCTCTATTTTGCACCAGATGATTTTCGAATGTGCAGCTCCACCAAGCAAATTGGACAGGGAATGGATGACAAGTTGCAAGAAGTGAAGAAATCACTAATTTTTCCAAGGTTAGTTCTTTGATTGATTTAGGACAAATTATTTGACTTTAACACAATTTTAGTTGTGAAGACTACAAATATTCTCAATTTTTGGGGGAACAAAATTATAGAGGAATGTTGTATTGAAGAATCCGATTTCCGTTCAAATTATCTATGTGAATGACATTGTATATACTTTGAACTTGAATGGTTATGGTATCATGTCAATGACAAAAAATTTAAAACTTCATTTCTGAAAGAAAAATGGCTAGAGAAACTTTTCCAATACAATAGTAAGTAACAACAACAACATACCCAGTGTGGTCCCCACAACTGGGATTTGGGGTGGTTAAAGTGTACGCGGACCTTACTCTACCTTGTTAGTTAGAGAGGAGGTTGTTTCTGAAAGACTTTCAACTCAAAGAAAGCAAAGACACAACATATGAAGACATAAGCAACAACTGGAAGTAAGAAAATATGGGAAGTTTGCTTAACATTCTTCATTGAATAAGAAAATATGGGAAGTTTGCTTAACATTCTTCATTGAACCTCATGACTTTATTAGTATCCCCCAGTGTGGCCTTAATTCACCCTATCAAAGCTTGCTTAACATTCTTCAATTTGTGATGAAAGATGATGAAGAAATCCCTTGTACATATGTCCTCCAATGCTGCCTCACTAAGTCAGGGAAAGTCTCATGCTTAGCCCAAAAATTCAAGAATTTAAAGGATCTTCTAAGTGGAGTATCATCCAAGCTACAAGATATTAGCTAAGGAGCATGATGTGGCTCCTTCTTGATCAAGTGTGTGACCTCCAAAATAGGTCCTTTAAATTCTTGAAAATGCATTCATCATTAAATCTTGAGTTTTGCACCTATTCTTTGTCTTCCCCGCTCCATGTCCAACAACTTCAGCTCCTTTAGGATTAGAATCCTTAGCTTCTGCCCGCAATTGAATCCCAGTAGATTAGGATTAACCTTCCCCTTTCCAATTGAGGCATCAATTACCTCCACCAATGCTGTCAATTTGCATCACTATCTTGGCTTTCCACTTCATCAACAAGTGCTGCAAATTGTTTCCCAGTTTGTGTAGGAACCATAGTTCCTTTATTAGGACGGGATTCGAACCCCCACACATTCATGATTGGACATCTGGAGCATGGACAATATAAGGCTGGGTCTCATCATTGGGAACAATGAATTGGGATTGCCCCAAAAGCTACCTCCTGAGGGGAGAACTGCCCAAGACCATATGACGAGACCAAGGTGCTTATTATCCCACTGATGTGGGACTCCAACAAGCCTTATTGTCATCCTTCGATGAATTTTGTTCTTGAGAATTGAGATCTATGGGCATTAAATTTCTTACTTCTAACTTCTTGCCATCTCCATTTATCACTCATGTTCCTTACAGCTTATCCACTCTTTAACACCTTGGGAGGAGCCTTCCCTTTGTCATTGGTTCCACACTTTTCCCATTGTTCTCCACATCACAGTTGCCTTCATTATTTCCTTGCGTTTCCTCAATTAATTCAGGATGTAAGACTCGACAACCATATTATGCCCTTGTAATTTGCGTTCTTTACAATGCTTAGACATATAATTCTGCTTACTGTTATCTATTTCGTTCTTACCTCTCTAGTAGCGCCTCACCACACCAATTTTTTTTTTTTTCACCACACCAATTTAAATTTGCACATTTGGGAATTCACCAAGTAAATTCACTTCAACTTTTACCCTCGCATAACTTGGCCTTGTTTTGTTTTTTGTTGCCATTTCAACATGTAACGACTTCCCAATTGATGGAGCAAGTTAGCTAGGATTCCTTTACAAAGAAATTTAGGAGGCAATGGAAGTTTCTTCTTCCGAATCAAACCAAGGAACCCACGTATGATGACACATTCAACAGAAACCATCCTTGGTTTTGAGACACTAAGCACACTTTGACAACAAGTGGACATAATTTAAAAGCAATGCCAATCGAATAAGAACATGTCAATTGCAATTTGCACAAAAATCTTATAATTCACCTCACATTTCATAGGAATGATCTTGCACAATTCTTGTATTTCCATAAGAGAACTTACCAACAACAGCATATAATAAATTCTCAGGACTATACCTTATCCAAAAATAACTACTATCACACGATCAACTTTATCCACAGACCAACGAGCCGTGGGTTTGCCGTGATGGTATACAATAGGTTCAAGGGGTATAGTTTGCTTGGTGGGGTTTTTCCTGGGTGTTTTTAGGAGGGCATAAAAGGGGTTACGGGAGTTTAGGGGGCTGAGTAACCTTATGTGGAGGCTTCCGCTGGCCATATTGTCTATGAAAAGCTCACAGAGAAAGTCGCCTCCAAATCATCTTGTTCGAGAGCTCTCAAGCATGGTGTAGGTGTTGAGTTCTTTTTTCAATTAATCCTAACACAGGCTTTCACTCCAGTGCAAGCTGACTCAGTTTGAAAAATAGAAGAAGACAATTACAATGAGTTCATTCTCCTATTTCATCAACTAAGACTGTTAGAAGTGACTTATATAGAGGACTGCAGCTGCTATATACTCTTTTAGTTCATCTGTAACAACTTTGAGTAGGGAGTGAGTCAGGACTTAAAGTTAAAAGCTGGGTTAACCCAGTGTTGTGAATGGCGAGCGCCTCTCGCCTAAGGCGAGAGGAGAGGTGAGGCGAGCCCTTCTCGCCATTCCACACTGAGGCGAGGCGACCCATGGTGAGGTATGGCGAGCTAATGGCGACAAAAATGGCGCTGCCTTTTTTATTTAAATATTTTTAAAAGATTTGACTTGACAATATTAGTCAAAATTAGTTTTTTTTTGTTTATTTTCAAAATTTGCTGCTGCCCGACTCCTCTTCCCCTCGCGATCTCTTCTCCCCGACTCCTCTTCCCTTCGCGATCTCTTCTATTGTCAAAATTTGCCGGTCGCGTCTCTTCTCCTATTATCCATCATCTTCAAGTTGCTGCTGCACTGAGGACCTGAGGTATACCTCTTTTTTTTCTTCTTCTTTTGATCTTTTCAGTTCTTCTTGAGTTCTTTTCTTCAAGAGTTGGATAGTTTTGAAGAAGAATAGACATTTAAAGTTTTTTAGTATTGTATTTTGAATTATTTAGTCTTTAAAGTTTTAGACTTTTTAGTATCTACTATTGGTTTTTGAATTGAATATTTGCTAATATGTGTTATTACTATTAAGATTTTGGATATTTATATATGCAATTAAATATTTTTAGTTTTTGGTATTAATTGGCCCCTTAATTCAAAAAGGCAAGCGCCTCGCCGCGTGGCGAGGCAGACCCTTGTCGCCCCTCGCCGTCCAAAACACTGGGTTAACCTAGAGGACGGAAAACTGAATTTACATGAATTTTTGTTGCTTCTCATTCTATGATTAATTTGTCTTCAGGTATGAACGATCGGGTAGCTTTTTGGTCAGTGAGTGCCTCAAGTCTTAAATATTAAAGTTATAGTTTGCTTTTAAAAAAACTGCAAGAATTAAATGTATCCTGGATATAATACAACCCCGTGAGAGTTTACTAGAACGCATGTAACCATATTCTGAATCTCTATTTCTTCCAATCTGCCTTGTAGCACATACTTGCTAATACAATATTATTATAAATTAGTTGGACTTCTTTTGTAGTCTCTTCAATGAGTAGTTAACTCCAATCGAATCTTTTCTAGTTTGAGTTTTGAACCTCTGACATCTCTTCTAGCCTAGCTATGGATGCAAGAGGTGAAATGGAGACAGTAGACACTACGACCAGCATTACAGCGTGTTTACATGACAAGAGCGTCAACATATAAAGATGCACTTAAAGGTTTCATAGTGGGATATCAAGAAGATATGCAACAAGTATGGAGAAAAAACGAGGACGCTAAATTGCATAAGGACATTTATGCAGCCAAAGAACAATATTGGCCTCTGCAGTACAAGTTGTGAGTTCTCTTAAATACTATATACGAACTTGACCTTTGGACTTCTGCATAATTACTGATGCTGTTTTGGTTTGCTTTCAGTATGTAGTGGGCAAATGGGGGAAGGAAATTACATCGCAAATGGTTCAACGCTCTCGTTTGTAAAAGTGATTTGGCTTGAGATCAATTGAACCTCAAAGTGTAAGGTCAGGAAATGCATAAGCCTATCTAATGTGTGCCCTCACCAAATGCATGTGGGAAGGGAGTTGTCATTTGAGCTTTTTAGTTGCTTTTTGGAGTATTTGGTAGCTTGAAGTTAAATCTGTAGTTTGATTTCAGGTTTGGATGGAGGAGGCAGGACTAGACCAAAACAGGTCAGGTGAGCCAGGAATGGATGTAAGATAGTTGAAAATGATTTCCACCCAAATATTGACTTCTCTTTGGTACTTTATTCCACATAGTATGTGCTGCAGATTCTAAAGCAAAAGCATATAATGATTTAGCCCTTGAATCTATCATCGAGGTGTCTTGCTCGGTGTCTAGAGCCTCCTCTGATAAAGTTCGTTCATCTCTTGCCATCTTTATTTGATGTGCCATCAGCTTTCCATTAGGATAGTTTCAGCACTTGTTGTTCCGGACCCATATGTGACTGTTTGTGGGTGTTTTTATTAGGTATATGTTGGCGGGGTCATGGAATTTGTCTCTTGATTGAAATCTGTCAAGCACATGGGTCTTCATTTGAGCACATTGTAATAAGAATCTTCTACCATGTCTGATAAATTATAGTCATATCATCATCGTGGATCCTACATAAGACTGAATCAGGAATTATTCTGTGTTTCTTTAGTGCATGTACTGTGATTTTGGCCTTAGTCTCAACTGCTAGCTTTAATTATTATATGTGTGAAATAGTTGCCAATACCAGTTTGGAGAATACCAAGTCATGTGATTCGATTATTCTATCAAGTGTTGTCTAGGTACATTCTCTTGGTGTTTATCTGATTGAAACGACGCAATTTGATCCACTTGCATGTAGAAATGTAAAGAACATGCTACAAAATGTAGAGCTTGAGGAAAACTAATGGAAGAAAATGGTCCATTCTGTTATTAGATGTTTTGTTACTGTGATGATTGATTATTGTTGCAAGAGGAGTCCATTCAATCTTGTGATAACCCACCACCTCTATTTTGTATGTGTATCTAGTGACACTCTCCCACTTGTAGGAGCACTAAAATCTTGCTGTGAGTCCTTAGAAGAAGTCAATGGGGCATCGTTTTTTTTCTTGATGCTTAATGGTCCACTGTTGACACAAAAAAGTAACACTAATACTCACTTCACTTTTCATCTTTTGGTTAATTTATTCAACTAGGCATAGTGTTATATTCTTACCAATTCCTTTGCAACTTGTGTTTTGGACTTGTGACCAGAATGTAAAGCCTTCAGCCTGTGCTATATGGAAAGTGATTGACATGGCCGTCTTCATGTTTCATTTGCGGTGCCTTTGTCCTCAGATTCTTCCAAAGTAAGTGTTTCTTACTCCGCAAGAATTTCATAGAAAAACATGGACACATATCTCACGATCCAGCTACAGTACACGCGTTTACCTAAAACGTAAATGTTCCGGTTTTTTGGAGTTATTGCTTGCTGGATAATCCATGAATGAACCCGTATATCTTTGATAAAACACTAGAAAATGTGAAATATAGGACTGTTTCTAATGTCAAAATAGAATGACAATATTGGAATCATCTTTTCTTTGAGTAGGCATTGGGGGATTTAAAAAAAATGGAATTTGGACCTAATTCAATATTAAAATGATTGTGAGGATTCTCCAAAGACAATATAAAAATATTAATTGCATCCTAAGAAAGATGTGATTGGAGATTTAGCAAATAAGAAAATGTTTAGAAACAGCAAAGTCATGGTGCCAGTGATAAATGACAAGTAGAGACTTCTAAGAATATTCATATACAAACTACAAATATACTCTTAAATAGCGCTCCATATCCGTTGTTTTGGTTTTGAAGATTATCGATTTAGAACTATTAAGATATCGATTATCTGGTTGTTGATTACAAATGAAACTTACAATTCACAGAGGTAAGATTGATGAGTCTTTTCCTCAGATTTTCATATGAATCATGAAAACACCAAAAGTACAATGTACATATACAAACTACTACTACTACTGTTGAACAAAAAGTATTCTGCCATGGCATCAACATGTGAAAGAAAAGCAGTTAAACTGTTAGTTGCCTTTCAAGTGTTGGCAAAGAACATATTTTTTGTCCTCCTAAATGACTAATGGGCTTTGACAGACATCCATCTTATCATCAATAACAAGACAAGTCCACCACCCACTACCACTACCATCACCACTTGGTAAAAGAACCATCTTTCTTCTTCTTCTCACTATTACTATCCTTCAGTTTTGGTCAATTGTCATGATTATGATGAAGCCCCCTAACAAAAATCTTCAGGCAGAATCTCCACAGTAGCAACCAAAATACAACAAAATACCCCGACAGAATCCCACAAGTGGAGTGCGCAGAGGATAGAGTGTACGTAGACCATATATATATATATATATATATATATATATATATATATATATATATATATATATATATTCTTTCATCTCTTCAGCTATAATCTGATGGACCCACAGACACCCTAAAGTCTCTTTCAAAGTTTCATCTCCAATATTTTCATTCTTTCAATTTCCTGTGGACTTGGAATAGGTGTTAAAAGTTCTGTGATATATACTACCTTTTTCTAGGGGGAGAAAGTTGCCAGAAAATCTGGGATTTTTACCCTTTTTGGATTTTCTTTTCCTATTTTTTCAAGAATTTTTTCTTTAAAGAAAAAACTAAAAATAAATTCCAAGTGCCTGTAATAGTCAATCCTGGTTGTCAAATCTACAGATCTTATCCCTGGTGATATCTCATCTGGTTGACATCTCTTGAGAAATTCATATCCTGTTACAACCATACAGTATAATTATTAGCAATCCCATCATTTATTTCATAGAGGTTTGAGCATTCAAAAACTATAGAAATAATTTTTTTTTTAATAAAATACTACATACCAGCAGTGGACCATTTTTGTTATTTGGTGGCCCAGTTACAAATAAATTGCGAAGATTCAATTTGAAGAATCAAGAATTAAGTACATGTTTAAAAGGGTTGAAAGCATCATTAAAAGGAGATTATATTATTATAAATAGATTAAACTTTTCTGTCTTTAACAAAAACAAGACGTGTTTCAAGTTGATTCTAAACATACCACAACAAAAGAGACATTTCGTAATAATAAAAAGTACTATCATTACATTCAAAGTCACTAATTTCTTAGTGATATTTGTATAGACTGTTATAAATATTCATATTTATTATTTCACTAAATATAATATAATGAAACTTATATTATTGCTGTGAAATCATTTATTTGTTGCAGTGAGAATGTCACTACTCTCCTACTTATTTTTGGACCTCTAGTCAGAGCCCCTTTATTAGAAAATAGATAAAGGAGAATTTGACTTTAATAATGAATTGTCACTTTCTGAACTTAAAAAAAATGGAGATTATATTGAACTAGCCTAAGCATTATCTTTTGGAAACTTACTAGATGTAGTTTTATTTGTATAAACCTAATTTTGAATTTTAGGGTCCTAAAGTCTTCAAACCTAAAAAGATATGGGGTGGGAAAGGAATAGTATTGAGATTCAATCAATCATAAAAAAAAAAGTAATGTGTATTGTCACTATCCAAGCTTAAAATGGTCCATTGCAAAGTAGCTTAAGTCTTTGATGTGTTTGGTGTTATTTCAAGATATTCTAGAATGGCAAAGAGTTTGGTTTGGCTGTAAAGTAGTACTTGATTCTTGGTGGTGACTACCAAAGTTGACTAGATAACATGTAGTATAGTTTATTACTATTATTATTATTATAAGACACAAAGGTTTTTTCACCGCGGATTAGTAAAAATATTGCGTTATAATGAATTGATCATGATTATTAAGTCATTTTTTAAAAAACCAATTCACTAAAAAAATTATACGATGGAACAAATTTTATTGAAACAGTAGGAACTTTCACAATTCTTTTATTTGGATTTATTACTATTTTTTTCTTTTTCTCATTAATTCAATCAAAATATCTTTGGAAATAATTAACGAATATATTTTAGTGGAAAATTCAGTAGTAAATAGTGATTCATCTCGACCCTCTATAGTCTATTTGAACTACTAATAAAATAAAATAAATATGATTAGGTACATTGTAGTTTGCTGCCTTTCAAGCTTTTTAAATTACAGGTATAGGAGTTTGGACCACATTACCCCCCTCTCCAAATAAAATAAAAAAGAAGAAAAAACCAAGTAGGTCACATGAAATAGTTGACATGATAACATACTATATTATTAAGGCATGCCAGGCTTAGCCCCCAGGGTATTTTCATTTCACACGACTCAACAGGTGTAAGAAAAGGAGAAAAAGAAAAGAAAAACATGAAAAAAGAAAAGAAAACTTTTGTTTAGAAACTAGAAAAGGAATGTAAATGTGAAGAAAGAAAAATTAAAAATTACTCCTAATTAAAAGTTTTATCATCATTTTTTAAAATAAGAAAAGCATTAAAAAAAATTGATTGCTTCCAAAAAGGAACATTACTTGTTCAATTAGACTACTTACTATAAACATAAGATTTTATTACTTTATTATTTTTGACTGACTTTTAATATGACTTTTATCTGGCTGTAACTAATCCACTTGTTAGGCACATACTAGTTTTAGAATTATATATTACTACTATATAGTAGTATATATTTATATTATAAAACTAGCTTAGGGTAACTGTAGAGATTTTTGTATGTATTTGTCTCAGTAAATGAAACAGGAAAATCATAGTTGAAAATTGAGACTAGTCACATCTAAAACAATTTTCTAATTTTTAGCCTAAAAAGAGAAAAAGAAAACTTTTCATTGATAAAATAATTTAAGGCTTGTATGTACCTTGTGATTGTGATGGTTATTATTATAGGAAGAAGCAGTAGCTGAAACAGCAACATGAGGCTTTGAATACTGAAATTGGTATTGATAATAGTGTTGGCTAGCTTGATCCTGACTCCGACCATGATCTTGGTGGTGGCTCGATGTTGAAGAGCCACCACCATCTGGAGTCGGGGGTGGCTCTGACCATGATGAATCATCGGCCTCACATTCCAAGTTAACCCCAAATAACCTAACGTGTCTTCTTGTGTTATTGTTTACACTTGTTGTAGTTTGGTTCTGCATTGCTCCTCTCCCTATATTTATGTCACAAACAAATAGGGAATTGTAAGTGATCGATTAGTCTTTGCTATCATAATCCATGAGATTCAGCTCTTTGTAGCTCCTGATTAAACCTATGGCATTTGCAAGAATCTCTAAATAAGATATACAAAAACACAAAACAACAATATTTTTTGTTTTTGTTTATATATGCAGGTAGGTAACCACTTGTTATATTATAATACAATAATTAAATAATATATCATTTTTGTTAGAAACCTACAAAACAATCTTTCTGCAATGTGACAAAATATACAACTCTTTGCAACATGTATGGCCACCAAGATAAAGGTATAATTGAACATTTCTTTTCACATTAAAAATAAATTAACTTTTTTTGCATTCTTCTTTTTTTGGAGGGGGGCTACTATACATATTCCATTTATAACAAAAATAATAAGATCAATTCTAAAATTAATTATCTCCGATGTATTTGGAAAGTATTCTGAATTTTCACAAAACTCCAATTTGTCAGTGTGTAAGAAGAAATTCAGTGACTTATATATAGCTCAAACTTACAATCTATACATGGATAATATAGTAGTAAGGATTCAATCGATGAAAAATTATAATATTTATATATGATTAAAATTATTTTTTTTAACTGAATATAATGTACATGATACCTGCATGAAGACAGTCAGGTTGGTATGGAAGACCTGCACCTGCCCTTGGATAAGGATGCCCACCGTAGTATACGTGGGCCCACCCACCTCCACCTCCGCCAATATTTCCAGTCATTGCCGCTGCAGTGTTATGACGCACTGCAGCAGTGGAGATGGGGGCGGAGATAATATTCCTCCGCCTCCATCCTATAAATAGCCGGTCAGTATCTGACCGGTGGCGGTCAAACAAAACAATATCACCAGCATCAAGACGTTTTTCCTTGACAAAACGACTCCAACCTTTAGTCAATACATAGCTCTGGCTACTATTCCAATAAGAATATCTAAATCTCCATGATTTTCCAGACTCATCTTCAAAACTCAGTAATAATCCCTTTTCAGTACCGCCATCAATATTATTATTATTACTATTACTATTATTACTGCCGCTGAGAGGAAAATACTTCTCAGCGTGCTGTTTAGGGATTACTAACCTGTTAAGCTTTCCAACATCACTTGGAGTTAATGGTTTCTCAAACAAATGATCTCTTGGAATTTCTTCAAATTTGTCTTCGTTTTGTACTAACTCGTCATCTTCATTAGTACTATTGTTGTTCATGTTGTTGTTAAGGTTAAACTCAAACATATTTGGGAATGAGGGTGGTTGTTTTTTGGTCCACCAAAATGTTTCTGAAGAAATATGGTTTATGGACATTTCACAGAACAAAAAAGGGAGATATATAAAAGTAGATTTTTTATATTTTATTTTATTTTTTGCAAAAATGATGTAGGAAAAGGTGGGTATTTAAGGGGGTGGGGGAGTGGGGGTTAGATAGAGATGCAAGTACGAGAGTACTTTACTTTAAGGTATTTTGCGTGATAAGAAGAAGAAAAATCAATCATTATATTCAGTGCAATTTACTAGGCAGCTACCAAGTACTCATACATCACATACCTTGTCTCTTTATGAAGTTTATTAAGTACTTAAACTTTGGATTATATTTGATTAAATTTATATTTATATTCATTTCTTAATGGTGAGTAGTGAACCATCTTGAAAATTCACATACGTATATTTTTCCTTATATTTTATTTGTCCAGTTTCAACTTCGCACATTTTTTTAATTTTAATTTATATCAAATAATTTAATTTGATATGAAATTTATATATTAAAATTTATGATCTAAAAAAAAGTCTTTAATAATTGTATGCTATAAATCATTAAAGATAAGTAGAGAAAGTAAATTAACATGAGCAGATGGTCTTTTGAAAATGACATTTTTATATTCATAAATCAGTGTAAAATCTGAATAATTGTACTCTTTTTAAATCTATTTATAAAGTTATATTGAATATTATTTCTATAAACGGTCTAAGATTTAAGTAACCAGCTCAAAATGTTGCTTGTTAATAAACTCTTTTTTTTGTTGTTGGTAGAAATTAATTCATTGTACTTTTTCACGTGGATCCCATTGATATGATTCAAATATTTTTTCTCCTATGTAATTACGTACCAGAATATGTAAGACTCACGGGATTAATGCCTTTTTTTAAAATCGTGTGGGAGAAAAATGGTATATAGTGTGTAATATAATGAGTGAAAGAAGCAAAATATAAAAGATAAAATTGATATTGATGTATCTTCATATGAATCTGGGAAATTAAAAAAAAGATTCTTTTTCATATAGATATCATTATATATTGTTGTAATTTTAACCTTATAAATTTTCAATTTTATAATAATTTCAAATTTTACTATAATTGTTCGTGTTTACTAAATCTTTTAATAAAACTATATTCTTAAAGAAAAAATTATTAAATTTGATCAAATTCACATTTAAATTCTGACTCTAATAGATGAGTATAATGCTATGAAATACAGGCCATGTTACTATGTTTGTTGGCTGGTAAGGCCTTTGTGCTAAAACCAAACAAACAGATCATGAAGTGAGTAGGCCCACCCAGCTGACACTGTACCACTTCTAGGGGTGGGTGGGTGGGTGAACAAACATGCTAAGTTTTATAATTTTATTCAAATATTATTCTTTTCGTTTTATTTTATATGACTTAATTTTTTAAATTTATTTTTATTTATGTGATTTTATTTTAATCGATATAAAAAAAGATATATTTTTATATATAGCAACAATATTAACATGAAAATGTTTGTTTTTACTGTTGATGAAATAATTTATAAGTGTGTAAGTTTTTGTGATACTTTACGTACACCAGAAGATTCTTTTAGAAGTTAAAGTAAATTATGATAAGTTAGAATATATTGAAATTGATTCAATTTAAATTGGAAATGTGACTTGCATATGATGTGAATATAAATATTTGAAGGACTAAATTATTCATATTATCATTATTATTACTGTTGTTATTTATTATTGTCGTGTATGTAAGTTGAAATGCTTTAAAAAAAATTGTCTCCAAAATTTTATTATAAATTATGACCCACCACCTTATTTTGAGCCTGACGTTCGTACAGTAAGTTTTTGCACCTGATGCATCGTATAGTAAGTATCTTCGTAATAATAATAACCTAGGACCACCTAAAAATAATTTTCATACCAACAATTAGTGAAAAAATTTAATATCCACTGCTATAAAATGTTGTAACTGGTTTTTAAAAATAGTATTCTATTGTTTAGAGCGTTATATCTAAGTTTATTTTTATATATTTCGATTATTCTTATGAAATATTTGTCATTTTTGACTATTAATAGATATCAGATATATTTATCGAGGTTAGGACAAAATAAACTAATTGAGTACGTTTGATTAGTTTGGTTCCATTTAATCGTTAATTATATGATTTGAGTAGGTTATATATATATTTTTTTTTATTTTTTATTTTTTTGGAGGGGGGGGGAGTGAATGCAAAATTGGAAAATAAGCGTGCTATATACTTGGTCCCCGTTGTTTATTTCAACACGCTAATCGCCCACACGTTTTCCCCTTTTTTTTTCTTTTTATTTGTTGTGTGTGTTGGGGTGAGGGGTTAGGGTTAAGCCTAAAGACACTTTTTACATGAGGAATTTGAAAGGTGGATAGTAATAATTTGAAAGATACCTGTAACTAGGAGTAGTTCAAAATCGAGTCGAGATTAATAATCTACTCTGATATATAATTTTGATTTAATAATTTCAGTTAAAGTTTAGTTCTATACTAATATTGTTGTCTATTTCTAACTTTTGGTTATTCTTTTCATTTTTGAGAAAAAGACATAATCTGTTAACGCATATTTATGATTCATTTTTAAGTAATTTTTGTAGAATAATAATAATAAACCAATATTAAATTGAAAATAATCAATTATCAATTAATTAATATATTCTATAACAATTTAGCATATATATAAGTTTATAACATTAAACTGATAAATTTTAGAATTGAATCGAGTTGTACGAAAAATAGTTAAATAAGTCACGTGCATGACAGCAACATTATTGACGTTTGGCCATTCCTAAGTTTAATTTTATGATGATGATGAGGATGAAGCTAAGAAGAAAACAAAAAAGATAAAAATAATAAAACAAAATAAATTGAAGAGAGAAATGGTGAGATGTTATTAATTATGAAGATGATGAGATAAGATTTGTCCAATGAGAATAGAAAAGAGAAGGAAACCGCCTTTTTCTTCTTTAGAATTCGTGTTTCAATTCTCTCCTCACATTTTTCTCTAATTATTTGAATTTAGATTTGGACTTCTCTCTCCAATCTTTATTTTTTAAAAAAAAGAAATTAATTTATATGCAATTCAATTTATTTCATCGAATATATGTATATTTTTTCTGTCAATTGGTATTTTTAGACGAATAAAATAATTAATAGATATTCCAAAGATAATATTTTTTGTTTTAATTTTTATGATGCAGTTTGAATTAATATATTGTGTCTAAAAAAAAATTAAGAGTAAAGTATAGATATCTATATGAATATAAATTGTTCTATTAAGAGTGATATTAGAATTTTAAAGCTAAATTATGATCAATATAGAAATATTGAGCGTAATATGAAAGAGAAAAAAAAAAGATAAAAAAAGATTTATGAAATTTATAGTTTTAAATAAGGTATAAATATTTTGTGGATATAAATCAATCCATTAACATTTGTTAGGATTATGTTATTCTGAAATTTGTTATTTCGAAATAAATTATTTTAACTTGAGTTATATCATTTATGAATAACTTTAGAATTGCAATTTTAAAGCCAAAACGTTACTAAATATAGATATATACTATTTGTCTAGTCATATAAATTAAAGACGTTATATTTTCTATGATTTTAGGGGAAAACTGAATGTAGACATTAGCTAAAGATTTGTATGTAAAGATTTGGATACAGAGAATTCTGCAATGTTTTGACTCTTAAAGCACGTCGTCAATGGTCATCATTTAATATAAATGTATACGTTAATCTTTTTATTAGAATAAAATAAAATATGTAGCAAGTGATCGAATCTATACATTTCATGTCCACTATTTGAAATGGTCTCCCCCTTTTTGTATGTTTGTGACAAGTTGGTAGCTAGACTCTAGCATTTACTACTATCATTTGATAACCTTTCATGTTAGATTATTATTTGTTTTTTCACAATTTATATAATCTTTTTCTAAATCCGTCCAAGAAAGAATGACACATTTTTATATTTTATATATTTTTTATATAAGTAATTATTTCACTTTAAAATATTCATTTTATCCTTAATGAAATTTTTTTTCTTAAAATTCGTTTGAATACATCTTAGATGCTCCAGTGGTTTATCTTAACAAGTTTCATTTTAACCAACAAGAACTGTGATGAAGTAGTAAGTACTCCTTCATTTTTAATCAAGAGGTCTCAGATAGCTCCTTTGGATACTGAGTCGCTCTTGTTAGGGAACGTTTTGCCGTAAAACTTTTTAATGCGAATCTAAATTTTGTTGGGCGCTAATATAATATTGAACACCAAATTGAATATATATATATATATATAAAAGTTTCATTTTCCATTGATATGGTTAATGATGAGAACAAATCATCAAATTGAACACGATCCCTTTTATCTCCTCAACAAAATTTAGGATACATATTTACGTGTTTAAGACAAATCCCACCTCATTTTTCCAGGTAGATTCAGACACCCTTGAAAACGTACGTATGAGTAGCTGTTTAATAAGTAGATGTTGGGAAAAAAAGACACAAAAAAAAAATTGTATAATTGAGGTTGTTGGGAAGCTTTGTGTCTTCCAAATCTCAATAATAAAAAAAAAATATTGTGTCATCTTATAAGATCAATCATTAACACATATCTCACATGCCCTTCCTATCTCTTTAATTTTATTAAAAAGATAAAAGTCAAAAATCACCTTCCATTTAACTTAATTTGGCTCCAATTCACGAGCAATATTATTTATACATAAAATAAAATACTACCCATCTATTTAAGTTCACACAATCATTTATCATAGGAATATAATGCCTAGAGTGACATGAAAAGTAAAAAATTCATATTTAACTTGTTTAAGGTTGAAACATAATAGTCGAGTCGGTATAAATTGAGTTAGTTGATTGTTCAAAAAATATTTTTATATGCTTACGCCTTTATTAGTTATAAATGAAAAAGTATGTTTTGTAATATAATAACTAGTTAACAAACAACCACTACCAAAGTATGAGGTTTATCTTTTATTTTGGATTAGATTATTTATTAAATGGGGTCGTTAAACATATGAAGGGTGTCTAATGGTATCAATCTTGTATAAATAAACAATAATGATACTTATGAAAAATATAATTAATCCAC